GGAGTAATTGTGAAATTCGCTGGAGCAGCAATTACATGGCTGAGTCGTCGACAGGAGTTGGTTGCTGATTCAACATGTGAAGCAGAAATAGTAGCTGCAAATCTTGGTTCAAAAGAAACTATTTGGATTACACGACTGTTCAAGGAACTTATTGGGTTATCTACAATTCCTGTACTCAATATTGACAATGAGTAGGCCCGAAAACTCTCTGAAAATCCTGAGTTTCACTTCAGAACCAAACATATACAGAGGAAGTATTTGTTCATCCGAGATCGGATCAGAAAGGGAATGCTAAACGTGGCCCACATCGGAACTAAACATCAGTTGGCGGATATTTGAACAAAGCCTGTACCCCGCCCCAGACTTCAAGCTCTTCGAGAGAAGTTAGGACTTCAATAGCCTTGACTTCAAATAAGGGAAAGTGTTGAGAATCTAGTTATTTTCGTCAATCTGGCCATCGAACACCTGATGCAGATATTCTCCACACGATGATTTCCAAAAGTCTTTTTTCATCTTCTGGATCATCTTCCATCGTCCAAGCATTTCGGTGTCAATATCCTCTGAGACTACATTTACTGGTGAAAGAAGTTCTTTTCCAATAAGAAAATGTCCTGGAGTTAGTACGGAATAGTCGTTAATATCTTCGGTTTGAGGACACAGTGGGCGGGAATTAAGACAAGCTTCTATTTGGTGGGTTCAAGTGGTTAACTCTTCATAAGTTAGAGTTGACTCTCCACTTACTCGTTTTAAATGATGTTTTGTAGATTTCACTCCAGCTTCCCAAAGACCACCAAAGTGGGGGGCCGACGGGGGAATGAAGTGCCATTGTGTTCCTGATGTTGATATTTGATCCTCCCCGGATTGGATTTTAGAAGGTTTGTAATAGCATTTTGTAGGACATTGTTCGCACCAACAAATATTGTGCCATTGTCGCTGTACATGTGTTGACAAGTACCTCTTCTTGCACTAAATCTCTTGAAGGCTGCTAAGAATGCTTCAGTTGTTATGTCACTGACAATTTCTAAGTGGATTGCCTTAGTGGAAAGGCAAACAAATATGGCAATATAGCCCTTGTACGATTTATTTCCTCTCCCTTTAGTTGTCCTTATTTGGATGGGTCCAGCGTAATCAACTGTGTGGGAAAACGGTTGTGATGGAGCGACTCTTGGAGCTGGAAGTTGTCCCATCAGTTGTTCTGAAGTTTGAGCGCGGAAACGTATGCATCTAGCACATCTGCTTATCGAGTTTTTTACCAGTTTTTTCGCATTGACAATCTAATATCTTCGTCGGATGAATGCAAGGGTTTGACTGGACCCTCCATGCAGAGTTTTGTTGTGAGCATCTTGTATTATAAGCTTCCCCAAGTTGCTTTTTGCCGGTATGACTATTGCGTGTTTTTCGTTGTAGGATAGAAGTGAGTATTCCAATCGCCCTCCGACTCGTACTAGTCCGTCTTTATCCAGAAATGGACAAAGACTTTTTAATTTGCTTTGTTTATCCAGTTGCCTTTTGTTGGTCAGAGCTTTGACTTCCTCTGCAATCCAACGTTGCTGCTCCAGCTTCACTAGTTGTTGACTGGAACGCTGAATTTCTTCTACAGTTAAGGCTCCTTTGGTTGCTGGCTTTCTTCTACTTGCGCTGATAAACCGATTGCAATAGGCAATAGTTCGTAGTAGTCGGGAAAGGGATGACAATTTTTCGCAAATCTCCTCTTCTTGTTGGGTGACTACTAGACTGCTGATACACTGTTTAGCTTCCATTTCAGTAGATGAATTAACTTGGGCTGTTGCAGGGTAAGAACCGGTGGTTAACCACCAGAGCGTATGTCTTGCTATTTACGATGGATCCAACCCGCGGGATACTAAATCTGCAGGATTATCTTCTGATCTTACATGGTGCCACACAGGGTAGCAGGGATTGGATTTCTGATACTCGGTTTGCCACAAAGGTTTTCCATTTATTAGGATGCCCATTTATACACGCTATGTAATCACGGAGTCGGTCCAGGAAAATATTGTGACTTCTTGTAGCTGAAGTGCAGTTGTTTTTCATTAACTTGGCCAGCAATACAGCCGCACATAGTCGGGGAAGTGTCGTTTTTGTTCGGGCTGGTGCTACCTTGGATTTGGCTGTTAATAGCGTTACAACTTTGTTGCCATCTTCTTTTTTTGTTTTAAGATAAACTGCAGCGCCATATGCTCTTTCGGATGCGTCACAAAACCCGTGAAGCTCAATCCTTGTCCCTTTCTTTTGATGAGTCCAGCTTGGAATTGAAACATCCTCAACAGCGGGAAGTTCTTTTTGAAATGTTGTCCATTTTTCTTGAATGCTCTGCGAAACTGGTGTATCCCATGAAAGTTCTTGTAGCCAAAGTTCTTGAATTAACAGTTTGGCCTGAATGATAACTGGTGCCAACCAACAGACAGGGTCAAATAATTTGGCTGTATCCGATAAGATACTTCTTTTGGTAATTGGTAACTTCTTAGGTAGGTCGACCTTAAAGCTGATTGTATCGCCATGGGGAGCCCATGATACTCCAAGGGATTTTTTTACATCATCCATCTTGATTTCAAGAGCCGTTTCGTCCTTCAATTCCTTGGGCAAGTGTTGAAGGATTCCAAAGCTGTTGCTTGACCATTTCCTTAACGTTAAGCCTCCGGATTTAAGCATTTCGATTAATTGGTTCTGTAGTTTGATGGCATCCTCTTCCGAATCCGTTCCCGAGAGCAGGTCATCAACGTAAAAATCTTTAAGGGCAACTTCGGAAGCAACTGGAAATTTCGGTTTTTTATCCCTCGCTAACTGCTGCATGGTTCTGACCGCTAAGTATGGGGCAGATGCGGTTCCATAGGTTATAGTTGTCAATTTGTACTCTCGGATTGGCTCTTGCGGTGAGAATCTCCAGAGAATCCGGTAGTATTCTTGATCGTCGGGATGAATTGAGATCTGCCGATACATTTTTTCTATATCCGCAGAAACTGCAATCTTATGACAGCGCCAGCGAAGCAGTATGTCTAGCAAATCCTGTTGTAAGCGTGGGCCATTAGCATGCAGTCGTTGAGGCTTATTCCATTAGTTGTTTTACAGGAAGCATCAAATACTACCCTTAGTTTTGTCGTAGTACTTGATTCCTTGACAACTGCCTGGTGGGGAATGTAGTATCTTCCTTGGTGGTTCTCCTTAATTGGAACAATCTCCATGTGTCCCAGATCGATGTATTCTTGCATGAATTTTTTATATTCATTGCTTAGTTTGTTGTATTTTTCAAAGCGCTTTTCAAGTTGGAAAAATCTTGCTAACGCCCTTCCTCTGGATTCACCAAGAACATTGTCCGGCTGCGTTGCAAATGGTATCCGTACTGTGTATTTACCGTCTTCGTTCCTCGTAGTGGAATTATCGTAGGTGGACTCGCACTTCTTTTCGTCTTCAGTGAGCTGCCTTTGTTCTGTTATATCTTCTAGCTCCCAAAACTTGGATATTTGGGAATTTTCTTCTGTTTTTGATATCATACTCAATAATTCTACATTTTCGTTGCTTGATCTGGATGTACCATATATGATCCATCCCAGCTCAGTGTTTTGGCCTAGGAGACCATTTTTAGTTTTTCTTATGCCTTCTTATAGGATGTCTTGGTATTCTTGGGCACCTAGGAGTACGTCTATTGGACCTGGTTTATAGAAGGTTGGATCGGCAAGATGAAAGTTGCTCCACTGATTCATGTTTGTTTTGATTTCCTTGGACGGGGTTGTATTGGTTATCTTGGGAATAACCAACAGCTCTGTGGAGAATTTGTATGCGTTTGATGTCCTTGGCTTGCAGGCTGCTGTGATTTTGTACTTGCATTCGGTTGTTTCTGCACCAAGACCACTTATCTTGGCTGTGATTTTCTGTTTTGGTAATCCCAGCAGATTACAAGCTTCTTTTGTGATAAATGACGCCTGGGACCCTGGGTCAATTAGTGCACGAAGGTTTTCATAGGTATGTTGAGTGGCCTGCACCTTAATTAGTGCAGTTGCTAGGAGAACCGTCTTGTTATCTTCTTGAATGTGGTTGGTAACAGCAGTCGTACTTGAATTTGATTTTGCTGCTCCATCCTTGTTTGCTCGCTTATCTGGTAATGGCTCTTGATGAAGCAATGTGTGATGATTTTGTTTACATATCATGCATGTCTTTGTGGAGTTACATTTCGTGTTGAAATCATGGTTTAAACAGTTGTAGCATAACTTATTTTCTTTTATATGTTTTCTTCGATTAAGGGTGGATAAGGCCTTGAATTTTGAACAATAATTGATATAGTGTTCTTCGGAGCAATACTTGCAGGAAGGTTTGCTGTTGTGGCGGGCAAAGTTTTTTTTCCCTGATTGATGATCCCTTTCGATGAACTTTGCTTTGGGCTGTGCTTCAAGGGATTGGAAACGTCGTAAGATAAACGCCAGAAAGTCGGAGAGTTTCTGGAGTTCCAATGGATTTTGAAATGTGGCTTCGTAAAATTCATTAGTATGTGCATCTATTTTTTTGGTTAGAATGCACAACACCAATGGTCCCCAACATGTCGTGTCAACTTTCAACATGGTGATGGCTTGTAGACACTCCATCGTAGTGTCGTGTAAATTTTTCAGCTCTTTTGCCGATTCTTTGTGCATTACTGGAATGTCCAATATCTTGTTTATAAGAGTAGTCACAATTAACCGTTGGTTGTGATACCTTCTCTGAAGCACTTCCCACGCAGATTTGTAGTTAGCTTCAGTTATTTCAAAGTGTTGGATCAGTCGACTTGCCTCTCCCTTTGTGTACGTTTTAAGGTAGTGCATCTTGTCAACCTCCGGGATCGTGATATTTTCATTGATTGCCTTTGTGAAGATGTCCTGAAAGGTGCCCCATTCTTCGTATTTCCCTTCAAATGTAGGAATCTGCAGGGTTGGCAGTTTGATTGTTGACTTGATCGTTGAATCAGTTACTTTTGTGTTTGTTGTAGTTCGTTGAACCATTGCCATAAGTACCTGGTTGTACTCTGACTTCAGCTGTTGAAATTGGTCGTGCAAGGGATACATGGACTCATCTTCGTGATTTACTCTAACCTCCATGTGAATATTAGATACCATATCCCACTGCTTCCGAATTTCCTGAAGTTGGCATTCAATTTGAACAGCAGACATGTCGCTCATACTGTTCCGTGTGGTATCAAGGACTTCTTGTACGTCTGTTATACGAAAGCCTAGTTCCTTCACGCGACGCATCTGATTAGCATCGGTTTGTGGAGAGATGTTTGGTGCCTGGGACTTTTGAACCTCTTCTGAACACTTTAAGATGTAATTCGTGGCCTCAGTGGTGTTTGACTCGATCTGGTTAATGAATTTCGATGTAAAGTATTCGTGAGTCTTGACGCCACAACTTGTCATCATTTCGTGATTCTTCTTGGCCTTGTCCAATAGCTCTGATACCTTATCCATTCGTTCATTAAGGTATTGCTTCGTTTTTCTGCTTGGACCATCTTTTTTCATGTTAGACAAAAAAAAATTTAATTTCGTTGTTAATGCCTACTTGGGCCTCACAGAATTCTTTAAATTTATCCATGGCTTTATTTCTTTATGCTTCCTGGACTGGGGCTATCAAAGGGCTGGTTGTTCGAAGGACCAATGTTTATTCACCAATCACTGGGCGAGTACAAGGCTGATCCTTGATCTTGCTCACTTCCCAGTTCTTAATGAATAATGATGAGATACCAAAATAAACCAAATGGAATTCGTTTTGGAACTGATTTTTATTAAAAACTTTTTGGGTTATATACAAATTTACAATATAAACAAAACAGTACTGCCGTGCTTAATGAAAACGCCGTAACCAACAATTTTGCGATTTTTGTTTTACGGCATTTTCTACTAGAACCACAGACCACCAAAACAAATGGACGGCGCATTGCCATTCAATAACAATGATTTGTTTGCGGTCAACAAACGGTCACAGTCTAAGCGTCAAATTGGAGATAGAATTTTATGTTTTCTTCCAGTGACGTCATGAAACGGTCACAGTCTAAGCGTTAAATTGGCGATAGAATTTTATGTTTTCTTCCAGTGACGTATTGGGATTAAAAAAATAAGTAGGTAGGTACTTACAAACGATATTTCCATGTATTGTTATTTTTAGTAAAAAATAATGTATTTAAACTCCATAATTAACTTAAACATGATAGAAATACACAAACGAAAACACAAATCAAACAAGCTGTCAACCCACAGAACATAACCTTTTTCTATGCTGTCAAATATGACGAATTTACCAACGTTGTTAATATTTAATTTTAATAATTATTAAATGATTTACTTTCTTTAAATAGAGAAAAATATTTAAAGAAAATGATGAACAAATCCTTTTTACAATTTTTTTATTATTTAAACGAATTTCTGGTAATTATTAATGTTCATTATGTTATGATAAACGTCCAAAAAGGCGTGTAATCTATACTTCTGACAACGTTGGAAGCCGTGTTTCTTTCGACGGTGTTTAGAATGTGAAACTATGCTTTACTCGCTTTTTAAACGTAAACAAATCCGTCCATTTGGTTTGGTGGTCTGTGACTAGAACAATTCATCCTGTGTCTATCCCCGGTACTCAAAAAACCGTATATATATGGATACGGTTTTTTGAGTACCGGGGATAGACGCAGGATGAATTGTTCTAGTATAAAATTCCGTAAAACAAAAATCGCAAAATTGTTGGTTACGGCGTTTTCATTAAGCACGGCAGAGTAGTTCTAAACATTTAAAGATAAAACAATATATAAATTAAATAACAATAACAAAAACACACGGTTCTTTGTTGTGGAACTGCTGGTTGCCGTAATTGGTGCACTGCTGCGTAAGGTGTTCTCGTTTAATTACCTGTTGCTAAACGCAACTTTGCACATTCCTGCATTTTTGATAGTAACCTTTTTTTAAACTAAAATTCTATTATTAATTTTTTTCTGTTTAATTTTTAATTAAACACAGGTCCGTACTTACTCCGAGACCGAAAGGGTCGCGGTTGTAAACTAATCAAAGGTTACATTTGCATATTTGTTTGTTTTAGTACTAAGGCAGTACATATTGAAGTTGCCACGGATTTATCCAAGGAATCATTTTTGTTAGCACTAAAACGATTTATGTCGCGTAGGGGAAAACCCCGACAAATTTTCTCGGACAATGGTAAACATTTTGTCTCTGCAAGTGCGGATTTTAAAGAACTTAGCTCATTTCTTAAATTAAATAAGTCTAGTATTGTTAATTCATTTTCTAAAGACGAGATAGAATGGAAATTCTCACCTTTTTATTTGCCACATTTTGGTGTTCTTTGGGAGGCAGGAGTTAAATTAATTAAACATAATCTCAAAAAAATTATATCAAATGTACACCTTACTTATGAAGAATTTTATTCGTTATTAACCCAAATTGAGACATTCATAAATTCGCGCCCATTGACGCCGCTGTCAGCCGATCCCAATGATTACACAGCTTTAACGCCAGCTCATTTTCTTATTGGTCGTTCAATAACCACAACAGGCGAAAAACAATTCACAAGCATCCCGATAAATCGACTGAGCTACAGAAAAGAACCAAATGGGTCTCTTCTAAAGGAGATAAGGTTGACGAAGGCCACCTAGTCTTAATCAAAGAGGACAATTTGCCACCCATGAGGTGGAAACTTGGTCGCATCATTTAAGTGATTTGTGGTCGCGATGGTGTAACACTTGTTTTTAAAATTAAAACATAACAAGATATTTTATGGTATGGCTGTTTATTTGTGTTGTCCTATTGTGTAATAGTCCTTCGAAGGGGACTTTAAGCCCGCGGTCCGTTCCTACCCCTAACCCGCACAAGCCATTCAGTTGGCTTATGGGACTTCTTAAGAAATAAGGGTGGAACTAAAAGAGCACTTTTGTATATAAACTTTTTTTTTGTAAACGACGACGTAGAGAATAATTAAAATCAGTGAACAGACTAAATATGTATATTAAACTCATGTAGACATAATATAAATTTGTATTATTTGCATTGTCATATCCATATGTAAAGGGTATTGCCATATCAATGTATTTTTCTTTGTTTTTTTTTTGGTAATACTTGCCAAGGCCGGGGGCATGTTTAGGCTTAACCCATATATTATAAATTGTCTGTTTACCAAGTGCATAATATTTACAAGTTAAGGCAAATGTACCAAGAAAAGGGAGATTCAATTCTCAGCCGTCAAGTGGCTGCAACGCCCTTCCCTTTTTGGTGTATTTTGTAACATTAAGAATTTAAGCTTAGTCATATACACAACCATTTTAAAGTTTTGTTTTTTGTTAAACCATGTTTTAATCGCGCAACAACATAATCAACGCAACGAACAATCATTCATGATGATTATTGGGTTGCTGAAATTGATGAATGTGTTTTAAATGTAGTTAATAGGGGGACTATAAATCTGTTTTTTCAGGAATTCATCCAGATATATCTTCAGCATTTCGCTATACAAATGGTAACATTTATTTTTTTAGAAAAAAAATATTTTATCAGTTTAACGAATTTTCGGGTAAATTAATAAGAGCAGTAGTTTTTTATTAAAGTTTATTTGAAATAAATTGTCAGAATGAAACAATTTTAAATCAATTAAAAAACATATTAACAACCCTTTCAACATACTAAGTATTTATAATTATAAATTAAAGTAACTTTAATTTATAATTATAAATGTTTAACTTTAATAAAAAAAATCATTTCAATGTTGACTTTTAAGCATAAAGGTAGTGGTTTATTAAATTCTGCAATTAACAACCTACCCTTTGAGCTTCACGTACCCTCTTACCAATTTTGTGGGGTAGGTACTAAATTAGATAAGAGAATTCAAAGGGGTGATACTGGTATAAACTTCTTAGACGCTGCAAAGGGTGAAATCTAAAGACTCTAAATTAGGGGAGAAAGCAGCCGCTTGGTTAGTAACAACTGGAATGAAGGTTAAAAGAAAACTTGGAATGGGTATTCGAAAAACTCGAAAACCAATCTCATTTAAACGTGGGGTAGTCGATAAAGTAAAAAAACATGTTTAATATTTAGATATATCCAATAAAAATTTACTCTAAAAAATCTGCCGCAACGGCACTTAAAGCAGCTCGTATGATAATAAAGAAAGCCGGGGGTCGTAAAAATATTAAGGTGCCTAAGATAATTCCATTGATTCTAACAAACAAGGAGGATTTGTACCCCTTTTACCAGGAGCCATAGGATCATTGGCTGGAGGCGCAAGCGCTGTAGTCACAAAAAATGCTAAAAAGAAACTTGAAGAATTAGGTCGACATAATAGGGTTATGAAAGAAATTGGGAAAAAAGGCTCGGGATTATATTTAAAAAGGAATGTCATTATTGTGTAATATTAAATCATCCGCTTTTGTAGACTTGTTGGAACAAGATGGCGTCAAAAATAAAATTTAAATTAAATTCAATATAATAACACTACTTATCAGGGCTTATCAATAAACACATCACCACAAAAACGGAAATTACATCCTGTTTCTTAAATAGTTTTGTTAAGGAATATATAATAAAGTTTATTCGATTAATTTTACAACAGCAAGTAATTTTTGGTAACTTATTTAACACCTCATTAGCTTCTTTCACATAAAATGAAACCATACAACATGGACATGTATCTGGACCTTCATCCGAATTTGACCATGGGCACGTCTTAAAATGTTTACCGTATTGGTTATTTACAAAATTAGCATTAAGATGCTGCTCCAAAAATTCTTTTTGACTAACCCATTTTTTAATTTTTTCCTTTTTCAAAAATTCTCGATATATTTTTTGTCGAGTAGGATATTTATTTTCAAATTTTTCTTTACGTTCTTTACATTTTTCCAAAAAATTATCAATATTTTGGATTGCCATTTCAATTGTTGGGACAAGTCTAATGACGTCATAAATATGCATATTAAATTCAATAATAATATCTCTAAATCTAATCAAAATTATGATTTTTCCCGCGCATTTTTCCCATTGGTCACCTGACCAAAAAAGGGAGGTGGTGGTCTCAGGCCATTGGGAAGTCAGCAATTCAAAATGGCGTCAAAATTAAATTTATATTATTAATTCAATAATAAATCCCTATCTCCAATTGCCCGATGCCAGGTCACCCCGCATTAACCACTGTTAAGTCAGGCCCACCCCCTTATCGCCAGTTTCCGCTCCCTTATCTCTAGTTTGAAATTTTTGTATCGCTTATCGATAGGTGGCGCCACCTTCGGAAAACGCGTTACGTCACCTGTCTGGGTCACTTCCGCTGCCGTACTCTCTTTGTTACTCTACACTGTTTAAAATATCTGTGGTGTGAAGAGTAATTTCTCTCCTGGACCTATTCTAAAAATGCTGAAATACTAGTTTGTGCCTCTCCATTAAATGTGATGCTCCATTTTCGAAGTTAAACCTGATGTTTTTGCATACTTCCTATATTTAAGTTTTGAAATCACATTAATTTCTATTTCTTTGTAAGT